AGAATACATGGGTGCGCGGAAATACCAGATTTATTTCGAGTGTTGAACATGATTTCTCACGAGTGAGCGGCTGAGCGCAGCCGAGAAATAAATCTGGTATTTCCAAGCACCCATGTATTTTTCTGTTTATTATATAAAGAACAGTCTTGAAAAGCGATAATTTTTACAGAAAAGCGATAATTAAAAAGCGATAATTTTCACATGTGAGATTATCATGAATAATCTCACATGTGAGATTATCACTTTTATCAGTGCTCGAAGTACTGTTTAATAAACGAGCAGGAGTGTTTTATTAGCAGTGGCGTGCTGGCAGGGGGGGCCGGGGGGGCACGGCCCCCCCAGCTGGCAATTCTTGGGGGGCGCAAAAATGAAAAGGGGGCGCCGTCCTGTGCGGAATTTTGAAAGTGGGTGGGAAAAAACGCATTTGAAAAAATATAGTTACTTCCGTCAAGAAGTATATATTTATATAGGCTTATAAACAGATCGAGACTAAGCGCATACCGGAATATTGGCCAGGTTTCGAAGCGATCACGGGAATTATGCCCTTTTTTGCTGGTATTATGCCCTTATATTATGAAGGTATTATGCTTCACGAATCACGAGAGCGGCGCAAATTAGATAGTTATGATAATGTAAAGTTGTGTACGCAATTTAGTTGTTTGAACAAGAAACATCATAACTCATCGAGTAATGTGAGTAGTAAGATAATGCTGAAACGCGCGCCCTTTTGGCAGCCAGGCAAGGAAACCTTAAACGGCATGGTGTACCACTGACATCGACTCGCACCGATGTGCAGATGAACTGCTCAACTTTGCAGAATCTTTTCAAAAATCGAAGTGTTCAGTGATTTTTCATGAAGACCGAAAGAAGAAGAGAAAGATTCTGATCTAGACTCCGGTTCTGAATCTGAAACCGAAGACTACGAAGAAGAAACCGACAGCGAGTCAAGCGACGACGGAACTGCTGAAGAACCAAAGGACAAGGATAAACAATCATTTCTAGAAGCTCTGAGAATTTTGTCGAATCCTGATTACCACCTAGTTGATGTATTTCCAACTCTTTGTAAAGTTTACGCGATCGCAGTTGCAATTCCAATCAAATCCGCACACGTTCGTCTTTGTCTCAAGAAAAACTTGAAGCATTGCTACTTATGACCGGCACTGAACGGAAGATTTTAATGTCTTTGAAAAAGGAGCAGATTATTACCGCCTTGGAGATCTGACATCAGAATTGTCGAAGGCGCTTATATGAAAATGTTTAGAAATGCTATAGAAATCGACAATGGTTATTGAAACATTAAAGACATTGCAGAACATCGATCGATCGATATGGGCAATACTTGACGTTATCAACATTCGATACAACACGTGAAAAATAGTACTAACTATCAAGTGATATACTGTATAGCATTTTAAAACTCTTTTTGTATGTTTTGACAAAAAACATGACAGCTTCGTATGAATAAAGTGCAAGTACACCGTTTTAGTAAAACATTACAAGTTATTAGTGAGATCGGCGTTTATTATAAATCAAAATATTTTATACAAATATACTCAACGAGTGACTTTATTCCTCCACAATTAATCTAAAATAAAGATTTATAGTAAAACTGATACCGTACCAATTTAAGTTCCTCTACGGAAATTCTAACCAAATTGCAAATTTCGACTCGTTATAATCTCGTTTCCTGACCATCAGATTTCCGTCAAATCTTCCCCCCAAAGTCCAGGAAATGGCATTTCAGAGACTCTAAATTTAAAAATTTTCCGGGGGGGCATGCCCCCGGACCCCCCTAGGAACACCTCGCACCTGCGGCGCTCGGCTCGTGCCTTCGGCCCTCGTTTATCAAGCGTCACATTATAGGGGCGCATATTGGTTGATAGCCCACTGGCCCCCCCAGAAAAATAGTATCCAGCACGCCACTGATATTGCCAATGTATCTGGACACTTTGGACATCAACAAAGCTGAGTTGTCACTTGCAACCATTTCACGTAGCTCGTCAATAGTGAGGAGTGCTTCACCTGGATTTTGTTTAATGAATATTCCACTTTGTTGTAGTATACGTTTCCTGTGAATCTCCCATATAAATCTCTTGAATGAGAATCAAATACTTTAAAGGTTCCTTCAGAAGTCTTAAAAATTGCAACAGTATTACAACCAATCGTCAACATACAATGTTGATAATTTTCCATAAACAGATTATTAAGAGCATTCTCTATAGAATAATAAGGTAGAGCAGTATTTGCCATGAATAAGTCACCAGCAAACGGTTCACCATATTGCATACAATAAATGCCATCAAAAACCGAAACCATTTCAGGCACGTCAGTTAAAAGCAAATAGCTTTTCTTAACAGAATTGCTTATAAAAGAATAAAGGTTATTTCCAGCACACAGTATGGAATTTAATACAGTTGAATCCCATGCATTTGCATTTGTGATATGATTATATATTATCGCAGTCAAAGACATTGCTAAACATTGTTTACCAGCATTTTGTCGAAACTTTTTTGTATTTCCCTGACTAAAATCTGCATATATTGTTTTAGTTGGATCAACCACATCATATATTGTGGGTCCAGGATTTTCCTCTACATCATTTGCCATTCTCAACAACAGTGGAACATACACAATGTAGCCTGACATTTGAGTGAATAACACCATCACTTGATTAAAACGTTTTAAGCAAAATGGTCTGATTATTTTGTGTAGCAGTGGCACAATGGCTTGCTGATTTGATTGTGTGGCAGTGGCACAATGGCTTGCCGATTTTGTTTGTAGCAGTGGCACAATGGCTTGCTGATTTATTTGTGTGGCAGTGGCACAATGGCTTGCCGATTTTGTTTGTAGCAGTGGCACAATGGCTTGCTGATTTATTTGTGAGGCAGTGGCACAATGGCTTGCCGATTTTGTTTGTAGCAGTGGCACAATGGCATGCTGAATTTGTGTAGCAAAGTCACAATGGCTTGCTAAATTTGGATGTAGTGGTGACACATAAAATATGCTCAAGTAACACATACGAACACATATTAATATTATGAACGTAATGACCATTATTATAACCAATTGAAATAACATCAACAATATACGACGAAAGCTATCTTGCAAACAAGTCGGGCAATTTTTCATTCGTATACAATTATGTGATCCAATGCGGGCACGATACTGCTCAATTGATATTTCCATAATAACAATATTTAATTAAAAACAATTAATTATCACTGTGATTATTTATACCCTGAACTACGATGTTCTACAAGCTCAAAAAGATTTTTTACACCACTTGTTTATATGAAGAGTTGTACGGCAGCACCTAAAAAAATTTAAAATAAAAATACAGTTGATTCATTCGTTTCGATGGATAAAACTATTAAATTCGACCAAAACAAATTGTTATATATTTGACAAAACTTTTATCTAATCATCTTACCTTGAAAAATATCTTCGATAAACAGTCAGACGTAGGAAAAATATTTCGATAACAGCCAGACAAGCAAGACATAAAATTTGCAGCAAGCTGGAATCAAAATTTACAACAGGCACGAGACAACGTGTTTAATATTTACAAATTATAATAATCCATGGTGGTGTTCGTGACTCTCAGCAAGGGTATTCGGAAAGTCAAATCGCGATCTGGAGTATGTTATTTAAATTTCTGTGACGTCAAAATACGTCATAAATCTGAAAATCCGTACATGCTAAATTGAGTTGTCGTTCGGCTATACATAACTCGGCCGGAAACGGACTGGTGCGAGAAAAACACATCGTCAAGAATAGTGTGCTGCCTGCGGCAGCAAAAAAAAATAGTTGGTTAGCGTCCTTAGCTTTTGCCAAAAAGTGGGCGGGCGGGCGCTTTTTTTTTAATTTTTACTAATTTTTAACACCCTGGTTTTACTCACTGTTAGGTCCGAAACTGGATTTTCTTGCGCAGTACAGATATTTTTTTATATATTTCAAAATATAATTCATACCGTCATTTTCGCATGCAATTTCGCAAATTATTAACACAATTGACTACAGTCAACAGAAATACTACATATATTACAATATTAATATATTATATATAATACATATATTACATATTTTAATAAAAAATAAAAAAAAATCCTGAGCGGGGCCTTTTTTGTGGGCGGGTGGGGACACTAACCAACTATTTTTTTTTATGTGGCCTTAGAGGGGATTATTAATTGCAGGTGAATATTAGAAGGGAATATTGAATATATTCCCCGATAAGAACAAAAGAAACCGAGCAGGGTGAAAAATAAGTTGTTTTGTGCCATTGTTTTCTGTTCCTGTTGAGTGTTGCTGCACGCAGACTAAAATCATGGTATTCATTGTATACAACAAGCATGAAGGGAATTTAGGTGATCAACAATGAATAATCTATATAATTTCTATGTGATTGCCCCCATGCAAATTGGCCACTTAATCTTAATTTCAGAAATTCTGTGCAGCAGTTTGTCCTGTTTCTTTACAGAACTTTATTCATTGTTGCTATACTTTACGTAATGTTTATCAATTTTGGTTATGCCAAAATCATTGTGCCTGGAACTGTATTTATGCATTGCTATACAGCAATAACATTTCATACATTTTGGCATGCAGTATTGGCGCACATGTATATGTACGTACATTATAAATCATTATTTTGTTAATTTCGCTTCGCAGTAGTGTTTATGCAGAAATCGAATATTTAGGCTTGCATGTATTAGAATAGACAGTGAGTTTAACTTTAATGCTGGTATGGGAAAGGTTTTTTGATCTCTTGAACAGTATTTACGTAAATAGTTAAATCGCGTGTAATCCAATTAAAGGAAGTGTGAGAAGATCTGTAAGTGTTATTGGCAGGTTATTAAAGGGAAGCCTCACATATCGATTTTTTCCACGAGAAACGTCATATGTTCGTTTGGGGGTGGGGGGGTTGGCAGCTGTGACGTTTCTCTGTAAACATCATGGGAAAATTCGATAGTTTTTATCTTTGCAGAATATAAAAAAGAAAACAATTTGATACAAACAGCAGTCTATATATTCGTAATACCATACCTGTTATATACCTATACATTTATTTTATTACGCCTTCCTTGCATTGAAAACACTCAAATTAAAAAAAAAACACGCTAAAACTATCAATATTTCATGCAAAAAAAGTTGTTTTGAGAAACATTGGAAATTTTGAAGTTCATACTTATATTAATAAAAAAGAGTATGTCAGCAGAAGATGACATATTCCTCGCGGAAGCATCGCCAATAGCCGACCGAAAAAATAGTAGAAAATTACCTTGTGTGTACTATAAGAACAAAATATCGATAACTATGTGTGACGTTTCTAAGGGGGGGATGGGGGGGGGGTCTCCAGAGAAACGAACATATGACGTTTCTCGTGGACAAAATCGATATGTGAGGCTTCCCTAAGATGTGATAATTGCGTACCTGTTAATTTCTGCATAATGAAAATCAGAAAATGGTATATATCAGCGTGTAGAAACAACCAAAATACATTTAACACATGCCGACTGTCATTGTTGGGCTCGATATTTGAACAGAGTTCGGATATTCCGTAACAGTACTATAGCATTTCTTAATATTGAAGCCTATATATTGAGATCGGAATTAATTAAGATTCGTTTAGGGATATACAATTTGATGAAATTAAGATAAAAAATTTGAAACAGAATCGAAATTACTAGGTCAAAGTCGACAATGAATAATCTATATAATTTTCTATTTCAAAGTCAACAATGAATAATCTATATAATGCATTTTAATCACTCATGATGCTCAATAGAAAATGTTGTATCAGTCTCTCATGTTTAATTAAGCCAATCTTAAAACCTTCTCACAATTCGTCACTCGACTTTGATGTAGTAATTTTGATTCTGTTTCAAATTTTCGATCTTAATTTCATCAAATTGTATGTCCCTAAACGAATCTTAAGCAATTCCGATCTCAATATATAGGCTTCAATATTAAGAAATGCTATAGTGCTATTACGGAATATCCGAACTCTGTTAAAATATCGAGCCCAACAATGACAGTCGGCATGTGTCATGTATTTTGGTTGTTTCTACACGCTGATAATTTATATACCATTTTCTGATTTTCATTACGCAGAAATTAACAGGTCCGCAATTATCACATCTTAAATTAACCTGCTAATAACACTTACAGATCTTCTCATGCTTCCTTTAATTGGATTCCACGCGATTTAACTATTTACGTAAATACTGTTCAAGAGATCAAAAAACCTTTCCCATACCAGCATTAAAGTTAAACTCACTGTCTATTCTAATACATGCAAGCCTAAATATTCGATTTCTGCATAAACACTACTGTGAAGCGAAATTAACAAAATAATGATTTATAATGTACGTAAATATACACATGCGCCAATACTGCATGCCAAAATGTATGAAATGTTATTGCTGTATAGCAATGCATAAATACAGTCCCAGGCACAATATGATTTTGGCATAACCAAAATTGATAAACATTATGTAAAGTATAGCAACAATGAATAAAGTTCTGTAAAGAAACAGGACAAACTGCTGCACAGAATTTCTGAAATTAAGATTAAGTGGCCGATTTGCATGGGGGCAATCAAATAGAAATTATATCTCATTTGTGTCGGTTTTCTTTGATCGTCCGAGGTTTATAACTAGCTGATATACCTTGAATAAATAATTACATCAAACTTTTCGACAAAACGTGAGAATTTTTCATCAAAAATTTTTGAAAATGACAAAATATGTTAGAAAACCTCCACAAATGAGATATAAGTTAGTTATAAACCTCGAAAGTCGGTTTATAACTGATATATTGAGCAATATATCAGTTATAAACCGACTTTCGAGGTTTATAACTCTAACACGACTGAATCAAAAGAAGTCTGTAATGTCAATTGAGTAGGTGGTTGATTACTGGAGAATGGTAATAATGCAAGTAATTTTGATTAAGGATGGCATAAGTGGATTATAAGCACTTATAATTGCCTTCGTGTTAAGCGTTTTTCATACGACGTGCATAGTATGTGTGGGAAATTTTCAGTCCATTTAAACATTAATTACCGTGTACACAAAAGCATCAAAGCCAAGGACAGCTTTAATTGACTAAAACTACATGATTTAATGCGTAATTTCTTGTGGGATTTAGTACTTATTAAAAATAAAGAATACATAAACATGCACCAACATGCATATCCAAGAAATGATAGCTGTAAAGCAGCCGTTAGTATATAGATACATGACTTATGAGATATAAACGTTGACAAATCTTTGTATGACACAAATAAAGGCAATATTTCAAAATATAATTTGCATGGCTTTAGCAACACATCTAAGAATGCATATTGTCCTGCATAGTACGTGCAAATGATCTGCATGTTGCAGTGAAGGCAATGATGTGCGTATAATAAATAATTATTGCCCACAACCTATTTAGCGGAGCAGCTCTCCTACAAGATTATCTAGTTATTCACATTTCGACCTAATTTAAACTCTAATAGTTGCACTGCTTGTACACACTATTCGCAACACTATTAGATAGAGAGCAAAACAGCGCTATGATGAGTCATGAGTGCATGGGTGTACGTTTCAACGGAAACTTTGTAAATTTTAAAGAGCTTCTAGACTAAGACGCAAAAAATATACGTGAGAATCCAATATTTACATAATTTGCACGTAAGCATGACGTTCATACAGCACGATTCAGAGCAACAATAATAAAAAATGGGAAGAAACGATCACTCGCCTTCAATTTGAGTCAAGGGAAATAAATTTCTGCGGGAAATGTATGACGTGCGAGCAACAAGATTTGGTTCCTACATGCAGACTATAAATATGAGCCCAACATATTGTTGTACTAAGAAAGCAAACGGAAAATTCACACAGTTGATCTAACTTTTACGAATGATTTGCAGCATTGATCAAATATAAGGAACATGTGGTGTCGCACTCTTGAAATTTACACTTTTCCCAGAAGTAGATTGGACTATGTAAAAAGTCGAGTTTCCAAGATCCACGAACTTGTTGAGGAGGTACATGTTAAATATTTCTATAATTTGTTTTCTCTAAGCTTTAAGCTTTAAAATTATTGCTTTTATCAGTAAAATACTCAAAATATAAATATTTTTCAGGTAACATCACCTCCATACCCAAGGGTAGCCCCCACTTACTCTGTTCTGGATGACAATGAAACTATGAAAATGAGTTTGTTGTTGTTTGTTCCTGTAGAGAGATCGGTATGTATGAAAAGTCAGCCAGCTAATTATTAAACAGTTTGTGATAACATTTAATACCTGTGCAGTCTATCGGCAATATTATTGATTAAATTCATACCGTGTACAATTCATCAGTTATAATAACATTGCTCTAGTTTGTAGTGAGGCATAATTACAATGCAATGGACAAAACCATGCAAAGGAATTTTCATGAAGACATTTCAAAAAGCGCGGGCATATTGTCAAATCGTAATTTTTATTTTGTAGGACGAACTCCAAATTATTTTGGAACAAATGGAAATGGTAGTTGAGGAATTATCTGTCCCTGATGTTTGCTTTGTTGAGCAGCGGGTGAAATATGACGAGGCAGAAAGGCCCGAACTTGTTGCCGAAGAAACTAAAAAGGTTGCTTCGGAGTCCCAATCACCAAGTGAGAACGACGAAACGGATGTTGGAAAAGAGGTTGAAATTCAAGAGGAAAAGAGTGACGAGAAAGATGATGAAGTTAGATCACTGGATATCGATGAAGGAAAATGGGTAAGCTTAGACATAAATATACTGTATGGTTGAAGCTTATTAGGGAAAACTTTCATTTATGCTTGTTATTTAATTAATTTCCTGTTTATGGGGGTTAACTAGTTGAAATTTTTCACTTGTGCTATCTGTCACAAAACGTAAAATGTTTTATAGTTTTTGTCACAAATAATGAATGAGAATAATAGTGTGTAGCAGCAGCAAGCTAACAAACTTTTGTACTTAAGGTGACTCGATGCAGTTTTCAAAAACTTCATGTGTCTAACAGTTTGACAGTGTTAAACGTCGTATATTTAGGTTTTATGCCGCAGATATCATGACGTTCATCTATGTTGATGTTTCGTCTTTCAAATTATGTCAGTTTTGGTAACACATAGTTCGTTGCTATGGCAACACATGCGTACGAAATTCACTCTAAAAAAGCCTATTGCTTTGTGTAGTTGGAAAAAAGCTCGGTGACCCTCAATTTTTTTTCGTGCATCATTTTACTTAGAACATACACTAACAATAAGCAAAATATAAAAAATTCTGTCATGGCAAAATATTTTTATTGAGGAAAATCACATTTTTGCATTTTTCAAAAAACTGGCATGACAACATTTTTTTATATTTTGCTTATTGTTGGTGTATGTTCTGAGTAAAATGGTGTACGAAAAAAATTGGGGGTCACCGAGCTTTTTTTCCAACTACACAAAGCAACAGGCTTCTTTAGACTGAATTTCGTACGTGTGTGTTGCCATACCAACGAACTATGTGTTATCAAAACTGACATAATTTGAAAGACGAAACATCAAAATAGATGAACATCTTGATATCTGCAGCATAAAACCTAAAACTACAACGTTTAACACTGTCAAACTGTTAGACCCCTAAAGTTTTTGAAAACTGCATCGAGCCACCTTAAATAGACTTCTTTGTCACAAAGTGAGGCAACTGTTTGGGTAATTTTCAAATCTTTTTAAAAAAATAGATCAAAACGTTCTGGTCAACCAAATCATAAACTAATAGGATATTTTGCACGAGCCTTCTATCTTTGATCGTCGATCTGACTTTCACATGTTCCTATTTTATGTCAGGTGAACAATATATTGATGTGGAATATTAATAACCTACTGACTGAGAGTGAGGGCAGTACGGGAAAATATTAAACCAAGATCTTGCCGCTGTCTTGACCGAGCAATAGTTAGGTCAATATAGCAAGACCCAGGTTTGATATTTCCCCCGTACTGCCCGAACAGTTTAAGACAGCAAGTTTTTTATTACATGACATTGTATACGATTGTTAAAAAATGAAAAAAGTCATGCGAGGGCAAAGTACAAAAGAAACTTATCTCTTGGTTATAGTGAAATAAACTCTACAGCACATTTTAGAGAAAGCTAACAGCGTTTTGGAAGTATTTCAAGAAAAATCTCTAGCTATTTAGTAATTTTAATCAAACACAACAAATATGAGAACAATAAAATAAATAAACACCATCAACAAGTATATTTTTAGTTCGCTTCATTTCATATTTATGTCTCCTTTTAAATTAATAAAAACACATTTTTTCAGATAAAACTATAAATCTGTGACTGCTATAGTGGTATTCATTTTATGTGAAATTCCTCCTGGAAGTGCTGGCCATCTGCAAATAAAATTTGCAGCTCTATGATCAAAATACAACTATTTTTGACTGCTTTAACAGTAAAAACATTGTAAAATTTAGGGTCTATCTATTTTATAAGTTCGAGCTAGTGAAATCGGGTTATGAGTTCCAGTTCAGAAATCGAGTTAACAATTCGGTCAGCAAAAATGCAAAATATTGTGCGCTAATATATCCTTTTAATCCTTTATGCATTAATTTATTTCAAATTAACTGCATGAGGTTTATCAGCTGTTGCAGTTTTTTGCGTTCTATTGATTAAAGATGATGGTAAAATTCCTTAATAATTTCTTAATAATCGATATATAATTACTTAAAAATGGATATGGGGAAGAGGACGGCCCAGGCCCCGCTTGGATAGATCCAGGTGAGTAAACGGAGATGAGGGATGAAAACCATGCATAAGCGGGATGAAGAAATTGCATATAAACTCCCAGCCCGCTTATACTGGAATGGAACCAAGAATCGGATAAGAAATTTTCATTCATCACGCCATTCATCAAAACAAATGCTTGCCATATAACAAAAGCAACATGTTGATTAATTGTAAAAATATTTCGCATACTTGCTGCTTACATGTGAAAACTGAATGAAAAAGAAATAACTAAAATCTGAAGACAAACATAAACTATGCATACTCGTAAAATAGTGTATTATATTTTTTGCAGGCCAAGGTGAAACGAGAATGCCCACTCTGTGGAGAAAAAAAAAGCAACATGGTAAGCCACTTGGAAAGATTTCACAAAAAGCCCCACAAGGATGCACTCAACCTATCGCAAAGCATTCGAAGGACAAAAGAAAAGACAAAATTAGACCAAGTGGTGTGCCCAATTGAGTCCTGCGAAAAACCTGTGCGGAGGCTTGACAAGCATCTGAAAACAGTTCATAAACTGGTACCTGGATCACCTAGTTTTATCCGGTTAGTGTGAAACAGTAAGTTATATATATAATGCTGTGTCGTTCAAAAAATATTCCTGCCAAGCATATAATTATCTTTGAGAAGAATTTTTGTAAGATTGCATATGAATTAAATGAATGCATTCTCGATTATTTTTCTCATTGTGATTGTCTGTATATTGTGCAACAACAAGTGTGGCGAATGTCTTAAAACTGCGTTGTCAATTATGTTGAGGAAACAGTTTCTGCTAAACCAAAATGTGAAACATTTAACAATTATTGGATGAGGCTGAGCATGATATCAACAATTATCCAGACCGACGTCAATGTTGAAGCCGAAGGCTGAAGCAGATAAATTTACCAAGGTCTGGATAATTCTTGATATCATGCGAAAGCCGAATTCAATATTTGTTTGACTATACAATTATAAATACAGAAGCTTTTGGAGATTTTTGTAGGAAATCCATGCATTCAAAATGACGTCACCTACAGACAATGTTCAATGTCGTTGTAGGTGGCAAGACATTGAGAATTGTCTGTAGGTTCTTAGCCAATCACAATCAAGATTGCATCATGTTCATGTATAATAATATGGTTTAGCAGAAACTGTAGCATGTGTGAGTGTATAAGGACATTGGCAAAAAGTACGTCTTTTATGTAGCTGGTTGAAAGAGCGATGGACATGATACAACTCTCTCACAGCATTGCTTGTTTTCAATATTTCCATTGTTATTAAATAAATTCTCATTTCAGGTACAATGCATTGGGCCATAAGTTAAGGAAGTTGGCTGGGGAAACAGCTAAAGAAGAGACAGAATCAAGGAAAGAGCATCCAAAAATGATGGGGATATCCAGGAAATCAAGAGCCAAAAGACAGCTAAGACTATCTCACAATGCATCCGATCATTCCTCGTCAGGCGATTCTCTGCCCGATCATTCTTTACCTCAGGCTTCTCATTCTGTACCGGATGATCACGAAATCGATGAACCTCCGCCAACAAGCTCGGGGCTTTTGGAAGATCCAACTGCACCCAAAGAAATTGAGCGAAATGCTATTGCTCGAACAATTGAAATCCAACCACTGCTTTCTCGATTTGTAGATCATTTGCTGACAGTTGTAGGAGGCTGTCGGGGGGAAAAACCATCAAAAGAAGCACAGTGGCGAGTTGGTAGACTCCTTTATGAAGTCGATGAGACGTTGACCAATGTCAGTTTACTTTGGAATGATGATGCCATGGTACAGATACGTCGTACATTTATCGAAGGTAATAGGTTACCAAAAAACCCCAGGAAAGTAGGTACCTTAAGAGCCTACCTCACTGCCCTGCAAACGTTTTACAATTTCTTGTTAACCCGCACCTCAAGTCTTGCAAATGAATTTGGATTTCACGAAACAGATTTTAAGTTGGTTAAAGAATTTCAAGGGAGGGTGTCCAACTGGATGAAATCTTTCACAGAAGAGATCGCGAATAGGAAAACTGAAGTTCATCGTGAAGATTTTAGTTTACTTTTGACAAGCACCCAAATTTGGAACTTATTCAATTCGCCTGAACATGAAAAATACGAGAATCGATTTGAAGAACTAGATGATCCCGGCACAGAGTTTGTTGAACTCCGAGATTATTTGATGACAATGTTATTGGTACAGAGCGCTCAACGACCTGGTGCCGTTTGCAATTTGACCATTGACGAGTTTAACGCTGGAGAATGGGATGATAGCACAGGGGTTAAACAGTTGTCACTTTAACAAAGCGCCATAAGACAGCAGGTACTGTTATGAATATGTAATTATTTATTCTAAAACGCGCGAAAATTATACGGGCAATAACAACACAAAATAATCGCGACAAAAATATCGCTTAAACTAATAATCTATGTTACACTCCCGGGGGTTGATCTCCATCAGGTGATCAAAAGTCCAACAAAATTTGAATGTAATTATGTTAAAATTAAAGAGTCCTTGCTCATATTACTTATAACTGTTCGTACGAATATTAATACTTATCTTAATCTAACTTCTAGTTCAAGTGTTTAACTCGTGTCCGCGCATCGAACCTCTAAAGGTATGAGATGCTGAATAGGTCTCTGTAATATAGTAGTTTTCCCATGTCCTGGGGCAGTAAGAACGGTAATCCTCGCTGCTCGAACTACTCCATCTTTGCCTTCAAGTAACTCGGTAATTTTAGCTAATTTCCAATAACAACGAGCCGTAGAATCGTCCTTTAAAATCACCACTTCGCCGACTGATATATCACTTGAATTTCTTCCGACACTTGAATTCTTTCTTGCACTTTCGCGTAATCCCAAAAGATACTCTCTACGCCATTGTCGGGTAAAGTTTTGCAGCAATCTGTAATGGTACTTTATTCTCCGCGTCAAGGTTTGGTATGTACTGGACACATTCGAATACCGTTGATTCGGTGTCGTTGCTATATGCCGTCCGTACACCAGGTCCGCCGGTGTAAGAGGATAAGATAGACCTTCGTCATCTGCGTACACATAGGTCATGGGCCTGTTATTTAAGGTGCACTCGATTTCAACCATTAACGTGCGTAATTCTTCAAAGTTCAACGAAGATCGTCCTACAGACTTCTTTAAGCATGACTTGACGCTTCGCACTAAACGCTCCCAATATCCACCCCACCATGGGGCTTTCTCAACGATAAAATCCCAAACTACTTGCTTGTTTGCCAGATCAGTCTTGACTTCGGCCGCTTGCATAATCTTCCTGATATTTACCGACGACGCTTTAAAGGTTTTTGCATTGTCTGATTGTAGCTTCGCTGGTAATCCACGACGGGCTGTGAACCGCCTAAACGCCTGTAGAAATGATAATGCACTCAAGTCTCTAGTAAGTTCTAGATGGATAGCACGCGTTGATGCACAAGTAAACAAGCAACAGTAACATTTGACATTAGTTTTCGAATCACACGTAACATAGAGTGGACCAGCGTAGTCCACTCCCGTGTTTGTAAACGGTGGACTGTCATCAACACGATTGGTGGGAAGATCGGGCATTGGTGGCGTGGGAAACGACTTCCCCTCGTGTCTTTTACATACAACACATCATCTAATAACTCGTTTTACGGCCTCTCTGCCTTTCAGTATCCAGTATTGCTGTCGAATGGAGTTCAATGTATCACGAATGCCTTGATGATGGATATCTTCATGTCGTTCACGAATTAAAAGTTCCGTAAATCTATGCCGTGACGGCAGTATAATAGGGTTCTTGCTAGATTCTGGAACGTCGGCGTTATGCAACCGTCCTTTGCAACAAATTAATCCATTGGTATCAAGCTGTAGTTCAAACTGGTGTAAGCAAGCCATACCGCCTTTCATTAATGCATTTTGTTCCGTTTTGAAAGAGCAAGTTTGCACAGACTTAATCCAATCAATTTCTGCCGTCCTCAATTCGTCCCTGGTTAAATGCTTTGTAGGAACATTCGCCTTTCGTTTCAGTAATTTCACGAATCTCATCACAATTGCAGTTACTCGGAGTAACTTAATCTTGGTACTGTATCTTTCGATGTCGATAATATTTTCTAAGTTGGCAACACGAGATACATTCTTCGAAACACAAGGAAGTGAGCTGGTAACAACAGGTGGATGTTTTAGCAACTCCTTGTCCGCCAGCTCATTGGTATTTGTCGTTGCTGACTTTGGCCACGATTCGGGATTCTCCTTCAAAAATTCTGGGCCGTTCCACCATGATTTGTTGTTCACTAGTTCCTTTACGGCACACCCTCGCGATGGAATGTCAGCCGGGTTCAACTCTCCTGGACAAAATCTCCACTTCTCCTTCGCCGATAACCGTCTGATCTCGTTAACCCGATGTTGTACATACTGACGCCACGGTTTGTTGTTCTTAATCCAGCACAGAGTAGTGAATGAATCCACCCAATAATACACATCGAATTTGAATGCAAGGGACTCTAGAACAGAACGAATAGAGAAAACCAACTTTGCCAACAGGTAAGCTCCCAAGAGTTCCAATCTAGGAATAGATTGTTTTTTCAGTGGTGCCACTCTTGTTTTAGACGCGATAAGACGCACATCGATTGTTCCGTTTGCATACTTGGACAACAAGTACACCACAGCTGCTACTGCTTTCTCTGATGCATCACTGAATCCATGGATATCATGACTGAGAAGTTCTCCTGTACCTTCTGAATTGTTTTGGAAATAACATCGCGGAACACTTATCTCGGATAGTGCACTGACTTCGCCCACCAGGGAAGTCCACCTTTTCAACCATTTTTTCTCAAGGGCCTCGTCCCATTCAACCTTGCTGGAACACAGCTCCTGGAACCACATCTTTAGATTCACCGTTATTGGGCTGATCAGTCCGATAGGATCAAATATTTTCGCGGACGCTTTCAATATCGATCTTTTTGTAGGTGGCAATGACTTCAGATATTCTATAAGTTGTACAACATCAAAACTGAAACAGTCCCTTTCGGTATTCCAGTTAAGACCAAGAATTTTCACTTCTGATGATTTCTCTTGCAATTTCTCAGCTGCTCTAAGTTCAGGCGATGTGTCCGCTAATAGATTGATCTTCGACAGTTCACCTTCCGATGATTTGTGTTCTGACGTTTCTTGATTAACATTCTGTTGATTCGTGGCAACCGTATTCTCAAACTTATCAATTCGTTCCTTCAAAACTTTCGAATTAGTGCGCCATTTGCGCAGGTTGAATCCGCCTTCGCTCATAATACGTTTAGCTTTCTCGTAAACGCCAAAAGCTGCTTCTTCATGTGTAGCTCCTCCTGGGAAATCATCCACGTACAACGAACTAGCTAGGAGCTTCGAGACCTCAGGCTCGGAGGAGGCATACAATGATAAATGATGTTGAATTGTTCCATTGAGGATCGCAGGGCTAGAAGTCAAGCCAAAAACTAATCGACGGAAACGATACTGGACCATTTTTGGGGTCTCATCTTCGATATTTTCCCACCAAAGAAATCTTAGCTTATCTCGGTCTGACGTACTCACGGATATTTGATGGAATGCCTTTTCCACGTCAGCAGTGAGGGCTACTGGATGGCTTCGAAATCTAATCAGAACATCGAAAAGATGCGGAGTTAAATTGGGCCCTGTCTCGAGACAGTTGTTGATAGAATGTTCACTATCAGTGTCCTTCGCTGATCCATCAAATACGATGCGTAACTTCGTTGTGGCTTTGTCTGATCTCACAACTCCGTGATGAGGCAAGAAGTGAACATCTTTGTTATTCTCTTCGTCAGCTGGGACTCTTTCAATGATACCTGTCCTCTCCTGTTCCTTGAAAATATCGTCATACTGGTCTAATAGACCTTCCTTACTTAAACGGGAGTTCAGATGATGCAATCGAGATACACATAGTCCAAAATTAGAATTTTGCAAAGTCTGTTCCTCCTTCCAGGGAAGATCAACTTGATATTTTCCTTCGGTCTTGTCAAATGCAATGTCCTTCAAGAATTCCTTTCTTTGGTGGTCAGATTCAGTGTAATCAACTATGCCAATGGACTCACTGTCCCAAAAACGTGCCAAACTATCAGTTAAATTGGATGGTTGCTCATAATTTAATATGGAATAGCTTGGTTGTTGGAGTATCAGGTTGGATGTTACATGGTTATCCCCATTCTTGGTATTTTGTACTGGGCCCGAAACCAACCAACCAAACTTGCTGCTGACTGCTGCCAGTCCATTACTCTCTCGAATGACATGTCCGGTTATAACATCCCAATAGTAGTCCGATCCTATTAAAACATCAATGTCATCATTACTATTTGAAGCTGTGTTATAGTCGGCAAGATCCAGCTCTAAAAACGAAGGATAGCTTTCTAGGTTTACTGTTCCAGGTAGTGGCGAACATATGTTACCAAAACTCAGGGCTGCGATCTTTATATCTTGGCCATTTTTTCCTTGTAGCGTTAATTGGACCAAATCACAGTCTTTCTTCGAGAAACCGGCATCACCAAAGGTATTAAGATTTAATGATTCTTTCTTGATGGGTTTCAAACCAAGCTTTTGCTGTAGACCAGTTGTGACGTACGATCTTTGACTTCCAGTATCAATGAGCACTCTGACAGGTAAGACTTCTGAACCTTCATTGGAATATGCATATGTCCTTGCTGTCTGTAACAATACTCTCGTTTGACTTCTTGTCACAGATGTAGTGGTTGTACCATTTGACGATTCATTGACAACAGCTCCAGTCGTGGAAGCTTGCCCAGGTTTGTTCTCTGGTGGTTGACTCGATGGGTCCTGTGGTGGTCGACTCGAATTAAATTCACAGATTGACTGATGATGCTTTCCTGGGCATTTGCGGCATCGTCTATTGGAGGTGCATTGGTTTATTCGATGACCCTTTCTCAAACATAAAAAGCAACGTCCTTGTCTCTTCAAAATATTCTTTCGGGCTTGTGGATCTTTAATCTTCTCACACGAGGCGGAAAAGTGTTCTGCATCACAAAACACACAACGTATATTGCTCCCATTTTGATCTCCTGCGAAAAATGCACCCGTTGTGTGCATTCTCTGTCTTGGCTGAGTACTTGGATCCCTTATCTTCAGATTACTACTCATCTCTCTTGCTTGCACTTCACTCTTTAATACATTCAATACTTCTTCGATTTGCCAAACATCTTTCGTTGTAACTCGAGCGATCTGAAGACGAACATCTGGTGGTAATTTAGACATAATGATGGGTATGAGAAAGCTCCCGTATTTATCAGATGTCACTCCCAAAGACTCCAGACCACGAACATTGAACCCAACCTTATCACATATCAGACGAAGCTCAGCAGGTTTGTTTCCTAAACATGTAGGCAGTTGCAAAAGTTCATCCATATGCATTGATATTATGTGCTGTGTATTCCCGAAACGTTCTTCAAGAAGATTCAATGCAACATTATAATTTGCCTCAGTTAAAGGCAATCCTTGAATAACTCTAGCAGCTAAACCTTCCAGAAGTCCTTGCAAATAATTAAACTTATCGATTGGTGAAATGTTTGGGTTCTTATTAACTGAACTGTCAAAACGATCCCAAAATGTTCTAAATTTTGTAATTTCGCCATTAAATTTTTGTAGAACCAACTTTGGTAGCTTTGGGGTCACAGTAAAACTGGATGGGTATGATGGTGCCCCCTCTACTGGCTCTACAGAAATACTTGTGGGGTGTTCTTCAGTAGGTAAAGGCACATTCTGCTCGGACATACTTTCTTGCTGTTCAGCCATGTCCGTATTTTGTGTAGGGGGTGCATTTATATTGCCTGACAACGAGGGCTGTGACGTAAATGTGTTCAAACACTCAATCATACCTCTTATTTCTAAAATTCTCGTTCGTATTGCGTCAGCATCCTCTATTTCTTTCTCAATTTCTTCAACCTTACACAACGACAACATTTCATCGTCCATACCTCGTAATAATTTCTCTTTCTCCTCAAGTAAGTTGTCTAAAATCTTCAAACGTGAACGATTCAACGTGGTTATCTCGGGGTTTTCAACAATCGACTTCGCTTCTTGTATAAATTTTGTTGTAACTCCACGATGCCCCCTTCTTTTTGCCTTTAAACGATCAATATCTGTCTCACTCATGGTAACGAATACTTCAAAATTCAAACGACAATCAAATTCAAACGAAAACGATGTTTAAACGACGAAAATACGGCCCCACGTTGGGCGCCATGTTATTATTATTATTATTATTATTAATGGTTTAAGATACACACCTTCGCAATAGATTGAATTATGGTGCGTTTACAAAATTGGTACGCTATATATTTACATATATAAAAAATTTAGTTGCATGCATCAAGTCTAAAAATCTTATTGAATTGCATTAAAATCATCGTAATTAAGTATCACGCTTAAGTTTCTTTACTATAACTATTATATAGAGCTACTGTGCTGGGAAAAAAGCTACGGCGATATCTTTCTGTTCGGCATTTTATTGTTGTTAATGTGTTAGAGTTTCTAAGTTCATAATCATTTGAACTAGCCCTAGACAATGGAACATATTTTGACAGTGGTCCTTCAATTTCTATGCGTTTCATAGTATTAAGGCAATGTCGTTCTCGCCTTTCATCCAATCTGGAACACCCAAGTTGTGCTAATGCTTCCCTATAAGAGTAACCCGGTAAAATGATCCTCAGCGCTCGTTTTTGCACTCGCTCTAAATCATCGGCGAGGTACAAAGGTAGGGCATGATGCCATACCACACAACAGTACTCCAGAACCGATCGTATTAAGGCAAAGTATATACTCAATAAGTCTTCCGCGGGGACACCACCTCGTCGTAATATGCGGATGATATATAAACGTTTAGAAGCCTTGGATACAACTGATTCTATGTGTGCATTCCATTTAAGATCGTTTTGAATAACCAGACCTAGGACTTTATGAGACTGCACAACCTCAAGCGCATGACCGTCGATCAACAATGGTGATAGATCAGGTGATTCCCGCAGAAAGCAAACGCGTAGTTCTTTGCACTTTTTGTGGTTAAGTTTCATAAGGTTGCACGAAGCCCAAGAATTTATAGTATCAATACAGAATTGAAACTTTGAATTGCTGCCCTTTGTGATATTTTCAGATGTTGATATGTCATCCACAAATTTCCAAATATCCGTTGCGTGTGGTTTCACATCGAGATCATTTATCATCGCCAAAAACAGAATTGGACCGAGTTTAGTTCCCTGGGGGACACCCGCATTCATTGGCAACCAGTCTGACGTTTTCCCTCCAAGTTTGACCCGATGACGGCGGTTAGTTAGGAAGTTGATAATCCAAGGCAACAGGGACGATCTAACACCTAGGTCCAACAGCTTTAATATTAATAAATTATGTCCTATACGGTCAAACGCCTTTTCGAAGTCAAGGAAACAAAGTCTAAGATGTTTTTCAGGACACTCTAAGTTGCACAACCAAGTGTGGATCATGTCTAAAAGACAATAAGTTGTGGATGTTCCTTTCAAGCATCCAAACTGCTTGGGGTCGATCTTGTCTTTAATATCGGTTATCATCCACCCGACCACGAAATCTTCAAGAACCTTAGCCAGGCAGGGTGTCAGTGAGATGGGTCTGGTGTCACCTTCACAGGTAGGAGGTTGTGATTTTGGAACTGGAATGATGTCTGAGTCCTTCCATATTGCAGGCACGATTCCAGATGAAAGTGATTCGTTGAAAATAGTTGCAACAGGTTCGGCTAATTCATGGGCAAACTCTTTCTGGATACGACAGGGGACGTTGTCTGGGCCGTGAGCTTTAAAAGGTTTAATTTCTAAGAGCTTTTTAGATACTTCATGTGGTTGAACTGTTGGAGCAGGTTCTTTGGCCGGAAGAAATGCCGGGAGTGTCGCTAAATTAAGTGGTGGAATGTCACTATTCACCGATGCATAGAACACATTCAAAGCTCTAACTAGTTCTGATTGATCCAGAGTTCTTCCATCATGTTCAAGCGAGAAGAAGTTCTTTCCAGATTTTCCTACCATTTTATTTACGATTTTCCACCACATACGGCAGTCATCCTTCTTTAAATGTTGTACCTTTGTTTTGTAGTACGATATTTTCCTCGCATTGATTTCATGTTGGACCTTATATTTCAACGATTTCCACAAGATTGTATTATGACCATGAAACGCCTTTTGTCGATATTTGATAAGCTGTTTTATTGCAGGTGTTATCCATGGTTTATCGGTGTGATGACGTGTTGACGTCTGTTGTGGGAAGATTCGGTCAATATTTTCTGTTAACTGGTTTGTAAACGAGATTGCCAAGCTATCAACAGTAGGGTTGGGTTCAAGGTCACAAAACCAATTATGTGTGGTAACCCATCTTCCGAAAGCATCTATTCCTGATCTGGGATAGCGCCGTACTAAGGATTTAACAGGTTTTGCTTGGATGTTGTGGCTGGGAATGCTATCGACTGAAGGTAGCCAGTGTACAATATTATGGTCACTGGATCCTAATGGAGCAAGGACATTAGGGCGGTCATATAAATTATACAGGTTTGTAAGAATAAGATCGAGTATTGCTGATTCTCTAGTGGGTTGGTCAACAACTTGTTTAAGATTTTGACTGGTGGTCAAACTGCGAGTTTCAAGATCATTAAAATCACCCATAATTACTAGACCAAGGTCAGGGTGGTTATTTCGAAGTAGGTCAATAGTGTTAATTAAATGTTCATTAAGATCACTGTGTTCCGATATTGTCAGACCAGGTGGGTGATACACGACACAGATAACGATACCGGATAGAGGTCTAGGGAGGCGTTTCCGTCGAATGCTCAGCCATAAGCATTCTAAATTCTCACTTTCTAGGTCTACCCGTCGTATACAAGGGATGTCTTTTTTAACATCATGCTGTATGCACTATTTATTATGAATGCACGAACTACAAAACATTTTGAATAAAAAATTTGAATGAGTAAAATAATTCAACCTCTGTGACTGTTAATATTTAATGTTGAGTAAAATTTCTCAATTTATATGCAAATTTATTCTTTTTTTATATAGTAGAAATGCACCTTTACTTACGAAGTTGAGTAAACAGAAACTAGACTTTACCAAAAAAATTGGAATCAGAGGACGTTGCACGGTCAGCTGTCGCGTGAATATCTCGATCAATGTCTTCACGCTATTTTCTTATGGTGTGGGCGAAGATTTTGGGTCTTCTAATTTTCCATGGACACTGAAACAATATATATATATATATATATATATATATATATATATATATATATATATATATATATATATATATATATATATATATATATATATATATATATATATATATATATATTATTTACCGGCTGCGAGGTCAGGATGAGAAAAACTGTGCCCAAGGTCTTGAAAACGGCCCGAACCCGAAGGGCAAGGGACGTTTTCAAGACCGAGGGCACAGTTTTTCTCATCCGTACCGACGCCGCCGGTAAATAACGTGTTTATTTTTTATCAGATGTAAAAATTAAAATGGTTAAAATTTCAGTGTTGCCTGCGAACTAATTTGAGATCAGTGCAGTTGTGTATTTTCAAAGCGAGGCTGACACAAATTGAAAAGTTAAAAGATATAAAACACGAATACGAAAACTCGAGAAAACTGTCAAGAAACACACAAAAAGACGTATAGTTTCAGTAAAAATGTACATGCTTTTTCATGAATATGGTAGCAGAGAACTGAGAGAAGCTTTGGAATAAAATATTTTATGCCTGGCGTTTTGGTTTTGGCTTTGACAAGTTGCTCCTGACAACGACAGGTTCATGTTCAGATCCGATCAAAAACATATAAAAATGAATCTGTTTTGATTTAATTAACGTTTTTCTACTAAAAGGACAATGAAAAAGGCATGTTATTTTTATATTTTTTTTATTTTTTCTTGTCCTTTCGTGATATATAATATGCTTGAAAAAAGTGTTTTTAAACACAAACTTTTACTTTGTTTACAATATTTATATCAGTGAAAAATACATGACACAAATGGGTAGAGAATATATTCGTGACTTGTTTTCACTGCTGCAGTTAAACCTTCTTTTAAATGGGAAAACATTTATTTTACAATATCTGTTTAAGCTGTAAAGCAGTTT